GTACGTGTTGAAAGACGGACTGGTCCAACAAGTGTAAGCGCAGTCTAAACATGCTGTGGTCAGGTTTATGTGGGTGTCTTTAATAATATCAAGGACGTCGATGGGGTTCATAGGAAATGGCCGATTCTGGATCATCCTCATCTTGCGCCCGAGGAATGTCAATTTGGTGAAGTTAGGCATGTGGCTCAAGAGTTCCACCAGGCATCGCCGCGAGGAGAACGTGTCTTTGAGACGCAGACTGGTGACATGATTCCAGCTGTAGTCAAGATTGGGGTATATCTCCAAACTGAGGTCAATCTCTTGCAATGCAAATTCCTTGCTTTTCAAGGACATTTCGTGGAGAGTCCTTAGGTCAAGGTTATCGAGGCAGCTGTCGTCATTGTCTGATTCTTTGGAATGTTCGATGGTGAAGCTCGAAAGATTCGGAAAGATGTCTCGGGAAGCCCATGGCGGCCGATTTCGTAGGGCTGGCGAGGACGCCGTACCATTGACACCAGCCACACAACCAGACCAGCCTTTGGCGCGAGGTTCAGTCCCCCAGATGGCGGAAGGGCGCAGATGCATACCAGATGGTAGCCCTCTGTACTTTGAGTTGAGAAGCAATGAAAAATGTCGGAAGATCTCACCGCCAACCGACAAGGTAACATGGGTGACCTGCCGTAGGCGGCAGAGCAGGTCGACGGTCATGAAAGCAAGATGCTCTCCGCTTCGAACAGTACTCGCCCGTTTGGTAAGATCATTTGTCTTTCCAAGAGTCGAACGCAGAAGACCATCAGTTTTCTCAAGCTTGAAACGCAGAATATCATCATATTTTGCAAGTTCAAGGGGATCTGACTGATCAACGTGTGAATCCGGCAATGCTCTATGCGACGTTGGAACAAGCGTAATGCTCACGAAAACCTGCTTTATGCAGTCGCAGATTTGAGGTTTCTCGTCGAGAAGGCCGAGCAAAGAGGTGAGCTTCTGTGCATCGTTTTTGTCATGTATGCTAATGAATCGAAACACCTCCGAAAATAGGATTCGGCGCAATAAGGTGCAGGTGGTGGATAGATTGACTATGGCTGCTCTTTTGGCTCTGTTCAACTTGATATCATGCGGGGCGATGGCCCATTCGATCTCGCCGGTGGCATGCTTGCCAGGCCTTCTGGTATCGAAGTATAACGCGACATGTAGCAGGAGCTCCGTGGGAAGATCGCACAGCGTCGCCATCGCAGCTCTATATGAAACGACTAGGTGAAGGTCAAGAAGTGAGGAAGGCGACGCGTGAAGTGGTGTGTATAGGTATTGCAAATGCGGAAGTTTTCGTCCACAGCTTCCAAGATAAAAGCAGTAGAACAGGATATGACAGAAAATGAAAGAATTTCCGCGAATTGCCAAAAGCTTTGAGGCCAAGCTACCGATGGACAGCCATTCATCCCGTACAGGTTGTGGGCAGAGTGCGTACCCTATCGACAACACAAAGCGCCTTCTGGGAACTGAAAGGTGTTGTGTAGAAATCAAAAGTTTTTAGGGTGCCTCAACCTTCTATCTAGTCACTTATTAAATAGCCGCCTTTTTTCCTATGCTAGAGCGACTACTTTTCCTATAGCTACCTTCCTATACTCTAGTCATTTTACCATCATCATATTCGTTATCAACTTTATCGTCAACTCCATTATCGTCTTCAACGTCGTCTTTGTTATCGTCTTCGTTATCGTCTTCGTTATCATCTCCATTATCCTTATTAATTTTATCCTTATTGTTCTTATTGTTATAGTTATCCTCATTCTCATCCTCATCCTCATTCTTATCTTTATTGTTGCTATTACTACTATTACTTTTGATAGCAGTAATCAAGTGTATTAGAGATATAGCCGCGCAAACACAAAAGAATTCGGCGGTCTTGTTAAATATATGTAAGAAGCTCTTACCCCGCGAGTTGGTGCCATCTGAGGCCTTGACGTCGACAATCTTATTCCCTTAGAGCGTTGCGTAAAGCCTTTCCATAATGAATCTAAGTTGTGCTTGAATTTACGTCAACCGGGCACCCATACAAGTTCTCTGTCATTATTAGACGCGACGAGAGTACCATGCGCGACAGGCATGCACATGGGCATTTTCATTTCTTGTCTCTCTGCTATCTTTTTTGAATCGCAAAGTACATCAAGGCCAGTATCCGTCATATCCTGCCCACACTGAACAGCTTCTCGCCCACGGAGCTTGCAGAAAGACTGATTCTAGCTTTGGAAGAGGGATGCCGCAATGATCTTCTAGCTGTAGACTCGGCTCCTGGACTGCAGCCTGGCTGCGTCTTCAACCTCCAGGGTTACCAAAGATGGGGATGCGGATCCACATCAACAACAGTGTTACGACCCGTAAACAAGGATCACAGTTGAACGACCCACTCGGGCATCGGGCGGCTAGAACAGGACATTTGTACCGCAGGATCACGGGAACAACAGGGACTCACTCAGAACGGAAGAACTATGGTATAAGTCACGTGACGATAAGATAAGAAAAACGATCAGTGGAGTACAGAAGGGAACGCTCAGTGATCAGTTGGTCTTGCTAACTGATTGCGATCACCTTACGCACTTAGGTGATCACTCTGGGATAAACTAAGAACACTATTTGGAACTTGTATATAGTATGGCCCTGAGCCTGGCTTATGGTCAGATTTCCATAGCTCTTCAGCAATCAACTTAGTATTCATCCTCACAGATACTCTCAGCTTACCTTCACTGCGAATCACTTATTAAGTCTAAGACTGATCACCTTAGCCTCTGAAGAACCGATCTACTACAGCCTACGAACTACGACCTACGACCACGACCCAGTGTACTGTTAGAACGTATCAATCCCCAGCTTCTGTTAGCAGACCCTACTGTCGGATAGCTGACCGTAACAAACAGCCACGCTAACTTCTTCAAACCATTCTGGGATATGATTCTTATTTGCATGTCCCGTATCAAATCCCACTTCTTTGAGGTTTGGATACCTGTCCTCGCAGTTGTCTGCCAGCCAGACGAGCTCCATCTCGCGGAAGTTGTCAACGTGTAGCCGATTTAAGGAGGCCGGCAACTGTCCGATGACTGCGTTGCCCACATCCTGTTCGCCGCTCTCGTCATGAAGAAGGGTGATTGCAGGTTCAATAAACTTCCCTTCCAGCCAGAGATTTTCAAGCTTCGAAAAGTTGCTGAACGTTCGATGAGGGTAAAAGTCCGTAGGCCCAAGGTCATACTTCTCTAAAGACGTAATGACGATTGTGCGTAGAGTTGCTGCTCGTTGAGAGAGAGCTCTCAGGAGCGGGGCCATCCTGTCGCCGGGGATGGTGATGTCGGTTTCGACAGTTGCTTTTCGGTATAAGAACTTTTCGAGGTTATTGGCACCTTCGATCATATCGACGAGATCGCCATAATCAGTCGTAATGTCGTCGAAGATGAGTGAGGTTATGTCCGACCCATACTCGTTCATGATGAAAGAAAAGCCTCGAAAGTCAGTCCAACTCTGGAAGAAAACGTCCGAGACATTGCGAGCCACCCGAGCTAAGATTTCCGCCGGGCTGCGAGAAAATTGGTCCCATTCAATGTCAGTGAAGCTGGCTGGACTGCTGCTACGTTTTGCGTCCTCCAGAGTGATAGACTCCAGCGACGGGAAGCGACAAGAGAAAGGGAGTAAGATCGCGGAGCCATGTGCCAGGGTGTGACCCGACACGGAGAGAGTGAGGTCGGTGATGCGGATTAACCGACTCAACACCAGCCCCGCAGCCCAGAGGATGTACTTAGAGCTTCGTATGAAAGGGTTCTGATTATAAAGGCGGTCGAGTTCAGCTAGATATGTTTGCTGATCATCTTCGCCCGCCTCATTAAAGTTGAAGAGTCGGGGAAGATCGGGAGACAAGAGGTACGTCATGTTGTTCAATGAGATGTGTTTCGGGTTATCTTCCACCTCTATGTGAAGAATAAACTCCTTGATGGAGTTGCTGATTGCGGGGTTGTTGTACAAGGTTCGGAGAAGATTGACTAGCTTATTAGCCCCATCTTCGCCGTGAATACTGACAACTCGGTAAGACTCCTCAAACAGTAGTCGGCGTAGAGTTTTGTTGACGGAAGCAAGGTTGAAAAGGGAAGCCCGAGCTTCTCGAACGGTGCGCGAGGCATCAGAAACGCATACGCGCTCACTTTCTAGCATTGTTTCCCTGGTTGATCGTGTAGAGTTCCCGGCCGGTTGACTTGGAGAAAAGAAGCTATATGAAGCAAGAGCTCCACAGAAAGATCGGAAAATTGCGCCATGGCGATGTTTCAGGAGCGAGTCGAGCTTACGGGGTGTCTGCGGTGTTGTAGCTCTACAGAGAGGTTTGAAGCCTCAATGGCAGCAACAGCGATATTTGCAATGAATAAAACATTTCACACCCACTGGGTCTCCATTTTTGTTACACCGCTGCCGAAGTATGTATGTAGCCGAAAACAGGGATTCCGCAGGTCATGTGACTCCACGGAAATAAGTATCATCAGGAGAGTTTTGCAATCCGTGTGGATACTTTCAGCTAACGGGGTGGAGTACTACACTGCCTGCTTGATTCTGGTACTATTGTAATTGCTATTATTGTTGTTGTGTTGCTGTTGTTGTCATCCTAGACCGAAAGCGATGCGTTAGCCAAGCGTCTCATTTCCTTCAGGAGATCGCTGGTCACTTTCGAGTCAGACGCTTATTCAAGTCTCAAGTCATACGAATCCATAATTGGCTAGAATTACCTTGACTCCGACCAACGAAAAACGTGTTCATTGACACAGACGCCTTGAAGGGCTTATTTTGTTTCAGCTCTGCTATTCACATTGGCAGCCTGCCTCTCCTTAAAGTGCGTATTGATAGCGTTCAGTATTGAATCTCTGGTCCAATATGATCCAGCCTCGGGTAAGTTTTGACGCATGCCACGTCTTCCTACTTGTTGTATTATGCATGTGCTGGAATTCCTATGCCTTTAGCTCTCCTGCCAGCGGACCCCTCCGCGTAGAGCTCTGCTACCAAAGTTGGGGATACGGATCCACAGGAACAATAGCAACGCCAGCGTCTCTCAACTGCTGTACGAGAGGACCCATGCTTGCAGAATTAACATACGTCGCGTCTAATCCCAATTCTTTCAGCTTCGGTAACCGGGACCTGCAGTTCGATGCTAGCCAGGTGAGGTCTTCATCGTTGGGTTTCCCCTCGAGGTGCAGCCGCTCCAGGGAGGCCGGCAGATGTTTAAGAATTCTGCCTTGCAGGGGTTCCGTACTTCCGTAACCTTCATCGCGCGGAGGTTTGCTGAAATCCGCATCTAACCAAAGGTTTTGAAGGGTTCGGAACTTCCTGAATGAGGAAGGGCCAAACAATACCGCTGGAAGCTCATGTACGGAAGGAAGGCAAATGGTATGTAGAGTTGCAGCTAGTTTAGAGAGGAGAGTCATCAACGGCACTGGGTCATCCTCGGCAGTGTCGAGGACCTCCACTCCGAGTAGACTTTCATCAAAACCAATAGCTGCTCGTCTGCAAACGAACTTTCCGAGATTTGAGAAATCTTGGAGCTTCATTTGCAAATCGTGATAGTAGATTTCAACTTCGTTAAGCACGAGTGAGGTTAAAGTTTTGCCGGAGCTATTTGCTTCATGCTCGAAGAATCCATCAAAACTCTCAAACTTGTGAAGGAAAACATCCGACACATCTGGAGCGCTTTCGAGCAAACTGTCCCATATGCAGGGAGCCGGGAAGGCCCATCCCGCTTCGTTCAGAGTAAGACCAGCGTCTGCAATAGTCAAAGACTGTAGAGATGGAAAACCAATGGTTCCCGCACCGAATATAATGGTTTTTCCATATGCGAGGGTGTGTTCAGGGATAGCGAGAGTGAGGTGTGAGAGGTGATCCAAGCCGTGGAATACCAGCGCCGTAGCCCAGAGTATGTATTTCGAATTCTTCACTGCCGTTGGTTGTTCCGCATAAACCCTTTCCAGTTTTCTGTGATACCCGTTTAGACTCGTATTACCACGGAAAATCCGGAGGATCTCAGGCCTCATGAGAAAGGCCATATTTCTGATTGATATGCGACTCGTGTCATCATTCAGGTCGAAGTGAAGAATAAGTTCCTTGACGAAGCGGCTGATTCTAGGGTTATTGTGCAGAATTCGGAACAGGCTGATGAGCTGGTTGGCTGCGTCTGGACCGTGGATGCTGACGACTCGCCGGGCCTCCTCGTAATATAATCGATGGCAGATTCTGTTTACGCAAGAGAAACTGGAGAAGGCAGCCTGGGCTTCTCGCAGGTCCCTTGCGACTTCTGAGATGCCTCCCTCGTGGCTGAGCAGTATTTCCCGCGTTGAGCCTGCGCCATTTCCCGGCCTATTGACGCGAAGGTGCGAAGCTATGACTTCCAAAAGCTCCAAAGAAAGGTCTGAGAATCCTGCCATGGTGGCGTGCGGCAAGAGGCTGGGCTGGTGCCAAGCTGAGGTGTCGAGTCTGAGCCTGCAGTGAAAGTTGCGAGCGGAAGGACGCAATTATTAGCGCACCGGCACCGACTGGATCCATATTTGGTACAGTCCGTTGCACTGACAGCGTCCGTCCCCCCTTTTAGCCGAAATTACGCATATATAATCCCTATATATATATAAAAGTTTACTTAACGTTATATAGATATTTATAGTATAGTAATTAACCTATTTTAATAGTTTTAATTAATCTATTTCCATTAAATCTTATAATCTAAGGATATTATAATACTTCTTAAGCGTTATTATACACTTTAATAAATAAATAATAACTTATTTATATATTATTTATTACTTATTACTAATAGTATATAGAAATAATAATATATATAATAACTAATATAAGATATTACTAGAGATCCTTTTTAATACTTTATTTTATTATTAATTAGAATTATAAAAAAACTTATTAACTTATGATTCTTAAAAGAATACTAAAAAACCTATCAAAGAGGTTATTATTATTAAACCTAATTTTAAAACTAATAATTTAGTAGCTTTTAAATCTATATTATAAAGAAGATATATTTACATAGTCTCCCTATTATTATAAAAAGCTTTAAAAATGTGTTTTTATTAAAAAGTAATAATGATATGAAAAGGATAAAAAAAGGTCTATTATAGAAAATCTAATTTTAAAATACTTTATTTTTATTAATATTATTATTTTAATTAAATTCAATTTTAATTAATTTAACTTTTTATTAAACTACTTAATTTATAGATAATATATTTATAGCTTTTTACTATAGTGTTAATAATATATATGTATATTATTCCCTAATATATTTAAAACAAAATAAAAAGAAATAGCAAACTAATTTTATTATAAATCTATATTATTTATAACTTAATATTTAAAAATAAAGGTTTGTTTATTTTTAATCTAATTATTAAAAATATCATACACAATAGATTTAGCTTTATTAATATATTAAACATATAATAAAAAAAAAAAGTAAATAGTGATATTTAATTTAAAATAGAAATAGCTTATTTATATAATTTAAAAAAGATTAATAATAAGATTATTATTATTATTTAGAGGAAGCTAATTAATATATCTGAACTATTATTAAGTTTTACTTAAATATATCTATTTACTAAAGAGGTTATTTAGTTAAATATTTTATAACTTAATATTGTTAAAGAGAAATAAAATCTATTTTACTATTAAATAGTAATATGATACTATATTAATCTCTAATTAAATAATAACTACTATATAAATATTTTTAAAAAAGTAATTAAATACGTATTTTAGCTAATATATAAAAAATAATTAATTATAAATTTAATAATTCTATAAACGTTAAGTATTAAAGAAAGGATATATATAAATAACTTCTCTAGTTATATATAACATGGTTCATCAGTCAGCCGGCTGGACCAGTCAGCCTGACGTTTTTTCCCACGTACACAACAACATCTAGTATTTCTCAACCACAACGCATTAAACCAACTATTAGTTGTCGCTATCAGAATCTCCTGAGGGTTCGACATCTTTGGAATAGGTTCGCGCGTTATGCCCAGTCTCACCACATATACCACAGCGTCTCCAAGCTGGCTGGGCTCTCTTTGATGGACTCCCCTCGTCGTCCTCTTGAGGTGCTGGACGTTTCCCTTTTTGTTTCCCTTCAAGCAAAACCTGAGATTCCTCTATACTAAGTGCCCCTCTAAGCTGGACCTGCGTTCTTTTAGCCCTCTGGCGCTTAGCAAGTGCTATATTTGCATCCTCAATAGTATAAAGCTGATCAGTCAAAATAGTGATTAAGTGCGCTATTGCCTGCACACCCTTTGATAATTGCTTAACTGCAGTAATAATTAGTGTTAGTAAGCTTTTTTGATAAGTAGAGATATAACTTTTAATAAAGTTAGACTGTAAGACGGTTTGTTATAGGTTAGAGGGCGTTTGCGACTACTAAGGTGGAGGTGTTAAAGGGTTAGCTATAGGAGGTGTTGGCGTCTGTAAATATATATCAAGCTTTTTGATAATATAGTCTAGGTCCTATAGTGAAATTCCAGCGCCTTAGAAAGCAGACCTGATGTTTTCCTCATTAAAATCCTTATTATAGGCCTAGTGGAAGGCAACAAAGAACTCAGACTTAGTGATATGATTTATAGAGGCTCTGATGAATTAGTTGATTTTATCACTATATATGCGTTTCAAAGGCGAATAAAGGGCAATATCTATTAGCTGTAGTAGATATAATAAATATGCAGGCATACTAACGGTTATAATATTGTTCTGCTTGCAGTAATCATCAAACTCAGCTGATAAATAGCTTTTATAGCTGTTAATAATAAGCATCTAGTAGACGCCCTTTATTTGGTTCTTAGTGTGTTTATCAAAGTGTTTAATCTAGTTAAGACCTATCTGATTGTCCGTCTATCTATTAGCAGTAGGTTTGATCACCTAGTTGCCCAGAAAACCTGATTCTATGGTCTAACTAGCAAGGTGATATGCACCCTTAACGATCACAAACAGAGGGATGCACCACCCGCCCAAATTAACATATTTAATAACTATAGCCTATTCATAATTATTAGGCTGGACAGAATTTGCTTTGCTGCGTTAATCAGCATATATAACCACTATTAACGCAGTGATCATGCCTATCATAAAGCCAGTTTCATCAAAATTATATAGGTCCCCCTCTTAGATGCTATACTTAGCCATCATATTGCGTAATAGTGCAAACCACTTTGATATAACCTTAGGATCTTCTTAAAGAGCCCTTTAATAATCATATGGACGATTAAACTTAGTTTTCAGAGCAGGCTGTGAGTCCACAAACCGCCTAGCCTATCGCTTGCCAACAGGCTTGCTATTACAGGCTTGCAGCAAGAGATTAGCTATATCTTCCACACTGCTGAGGCGGAAAGGAAATCCTCTGGAATCCTGTTCAATAACATATTAGAGAAGTGTTTTCTCTTCGATCAGATTGAGTTTATATCGTTAGGGTTAAGCTTGTTTGCATCGCAGTTAGTTGTTCATTCTATCGGCTAAGGTGCTCTTTAGGATACCGTAGGTCTTTGCAGCATGCGAAATGCTTAAGTTATTACCTGCAGCGCGTGTTAATTAGATCGCTTTAATCGCGAGAATGACTTTGTCTTCTTAGGTGTAGATTGGCATTATGGTTGTTGAGATTTTACGCATCAAAGGTTTAAGTGATTTGGACGTAAGAGTGTTTAGAAAAAAACGTCCAGCTGACTGGTCCAGCCGGCTGACTGATGAACCACGTTATATCTATTTAAAGTATTATAAATATAAGAGGAATTTAAGTCATAAAAAGTTTAATTAATGTTATATATTAAACCAGAAATATTATGAAATTAAATCCTATTACATAGAGAAATAAATAAAAACTATTATAACTAAATAAATTAATATTAATAATATAAAACTACTTAAAAACCTATGTAGTAAGACTTTTTATAACTAGTTTATTAAGGATTAAAATTGCGAAAATAAGAGAAATAAAACTATTATTAAAATTAATAATAATTAAAAAATAATAGTAATAATAGAAAGAAGTTAGAAATATTATATTTCTATTATTAGAGTTAAAATCTAATCTAAGTAATATTAATAATAATATTATTATCAATATGAATAGTAATATAGAGGTATTAAATTGTTACTTTTAATATTTTAATTTATATATATAGCTACTATTATTAACGTTATTACGATTAATATATTAGCTATAAATAAATATTTTATAATATTTATTATTAGCTTTTCTATTATTAAACTTTCTAAATATTTATTAATTAAATATTATACTTTTAATTTATTTATCCTCACTAATAATACTAGATTCACTTTAAAAAGCTTTGAATTAAATAGCTAGTTTTATTAAATAGGATATATATATTTATAATAAGTGATACAATATTTGTAAAAGAATTAAAAAGAAGCTATATAAACTATAATTAATAAATAATAATTTATAGATAGTTTATAAATTACTAAACATTTTACTAAATAGAGTTTTATTTAAGATTTAACTAAAAATATTAGAAACTTAATCAAATCTTTTATAAATAACAGTATTTCTTATAGAAGGTAGTTTAACGCCCTCTTTAATATAATATATTACTCTAAGTTTTATTTATATTATTAAAAGTAAAAGGAGATATTTATATAAACATAGATATTAGATTATTAGAAAAAGTAAGAGTAGCATTAGGTAAAAACTTTATAGTATTAGTTTTAAAAATATTAAAGTTATTTTAATATATTAATATATTAACATTATATTAATCTAATAAATGAAAGATCGATAGTATATTAATTAAAATTAGTTAATATAGTAAATATATATAAAGCTATTTACTATCAAATATAGCTAATTTTATAAATATTTTAAAACTTTTTAGTTTTATTTTATTACTATTATTATTAATATTATAAATACGATCTATATAATTATAAATAGAATGAAACAAAATTAAGCTAAATAATGAAATAATTAGATTAAAATCTTAAGTACTATATTATTAATAAAGATATATGATTTAGAAAAAGATAAAAGAAAAGAGTAATATAATAAAACTAACATACAATTTAACTATATATATAATGTTTAATGTAATATATTTAACTATAAAAAAGTTTACTTATAGTTATAGATTTAATATTACTATTTTATATATATATAAATAATAAAACTATTATAATTTTAAATCTATAAATAATATAATTTACTTTAATACTTCTTACTTAGTAATAATTAAAATCTCTAACTATAGTTAAAATCTCTAATTATAAATTAAAATAATATACTATCATTATAAATTATTATTATAAATATTAATAATATATTTTAGGTACTATATAAATAAAATTAACATATGTATATAGCTGTCACAGGCTAGAGCCTGGATTGATATCTCCGGCTTCGCCAGAGCAGTTA